ATAAAAAATAATAAATGAAAGATATATCTATTATGATTTATTTAGTTAGAAATAAATTTGGGCAAAATACCAACAGGATTAAGATGACCTTTTACTTGCTGTGGGCAAATTACCTATAGAATTAGCAGCTTTAAATATTTTGTGGGCAAATTATCTCCGCCCGAAGAAACGGACATAAGTCTGCAGCGACTTGAAAAATATAATAAGCCTAAACCCCGTCCTGTACTTCCTGAATTAAAGTTACCAATAATATCTCGAGAAAATTCAAATTGCTGAAAAAAGATGAATTTATTTTGGCGATTGTTGAAATTACTCCAGAATGAGTATTCTTTTTTGAGATGGAGTGATGTTCAAAAGATTATATCTAAAAATAATATTCCAGTTTCATCAATTATATACCTTTCCTTTTTGAATGCTCCACCAACATAATTTGACACAAGTTTTACCGCAATGGTAAGGTTAGTACAGTTAGCAGAAAAACTGAATCAGGATCATATTGTAATAACCGCAGACTTAGCAATTTATTCAAAGGCGCGCGAAATACTGTAGAACAAACCTCCAGAATTGTCTGGCAAAGTTACTTTGCAACTTGGTGGGATGCACCTAACAATTGCATTTATTGTAAGTATAAGTTATATTTTTGCTGATGGTGGAGTTACTTCGATTCTTGTCGAAACATATATTTACGCAGAAAATTCTTGTCGTCTAATGCTCGATGAAAAGCAGTACTATCGTGCTATTCGAAGCCTAACATTAGCAGTTGATGCAATGCCTCGATTATTTTACAAGTCACTAAATAAATGGTACGAAGAAAATAAAGGATAATAAAATTAAAAATTGACGAAGTAGGTAACTTAGAAGATCTTTCTTACCTTCTTGAAGATTACAGAATTTGTAAACTTGGGTTGCGGTTCATCAAAAACATTTAAATATTGGTACTTTTTTTTGGAGACAATCGATTTACTTTGGAGAATCTAAGTGCTGAAAGAAATGGAGATTTTGAAAGTCATCTGTGACAATCGAAAATGCACTTGTGTTAAAAAAGGCCTAAAATGCTGTAACGAGTGTAAATGTCGTTTCTCAAACAACAGTATTAAATTGACAAGGGGGGTAGCCATGTGTGAGTTGAGGTAATTTTAAGGTGAAGGGGAGAAAAAATCCTTTATATCTCACAAGGAAAGTCAATGTTTAATTATTTAACAAAACATTGAGTGCGACCGGTTTCGAAGTGTCATCACTTCATCTTCAGGCTCGCCTAGTGGAAAGGAGAATATGTGGTGTAAGGTGTGTTAACACTTAGAGCAAACGATATATAAAATAGTAAAAAAGAGAAAACTCACCATACTCTCCATCCACTAGGGAATACTACAAAACAAGTTTCATCAAATGTGGGGTGAAATAAATTGTAAAATGAACAAAGTTTACAAGTAATAAAAAGTTAAAAATATTTGAAAAACAAATATTAGTCAATTGAAATAGTAAAATTTAAAATATTGAAGACTATACAAAACAAATCACATACATTAAACAGATTAAAAGATAAGGCTTATTTTAAACAACCTTGTTTTTTCAAAAAACTAACATTTTTGAAAGGAGACCTGTCAAGTTAAGGCCTCTACAGGTGGTGGCAAGTATTACATAATTCACATAATTTCTTGCAAGGGGTACATTTCAGTAAGTAATTTTTTTCCCATAAGAAACCAACGAGCACGTTTAAAGATTAGGTTAGATTGTGTGATTTCACATCCGTCATTTTCTTCTTTTATTCTTCAGTTGCTTCACAACAGTTAACCCAGTCATTTCTTCTTCTTTCTTCTTCCTACAACATCACATACACTTGGTGATTGGTTCATGGCCCAAATCTTATATAATAAATAATAAATATTTCTTCACCCATAGTTTACATCTTATTACCTATACCCTGTCATGGGTTTACCCAAGAATTTTTTTGTTAATACTTGCCACCACCTGTAGAGGCCTTAACTTGACAGGTCTCCTTTCAAAAATGTTAGTTTTTTGAAAAAACAAGGTTGTTTAAAATAAGCCTTATCTTTTAATCTGTTTAATGTATGTGATTTGTTTTGTATAGTCTTGAATATTTTAAATTTTACTATTTCAATTGACTAATATTTGTTTTTCAAATATTTTTAACTTTTTATTACTTGTAAACTTTGTTCATTTTACAATTTATTTCACCCCACATTTGATGAAACTTGTTTTGTAGTATTCCCTAGTGGATGGAGAGTATGGTGAGTTTTCTCTTTTTTACTACATTATATATCGTTTGCTCTAAGTGTTAACACACCTTACACCACATATTCTCCTTTCCACTAGGCGAGCCTGAAGATGAAGTGATGACACTTCGAAACCGGTCGCACTCAATGTTTTGTTAAATAATTAAACATTGACTTTCCTTGTGAGATATAAAGGACTTTTTCTCCCCCTTCACCTTAAAAAAAACAGTATTAAAGATTTCGACGTAGATCCAGAAGATGACGAATTAGAGTACTATTAATATAGCATCTAAATAATAAATATGTCAACCATAAACCTTACTTTATTCTTACATTTTTAGTTTAATTTAATTAAAAATGTTTAATATACTACTAATTAGGTCCGCCGATCACGCTCGCAGGCCGGAGCCGAGCGCGCAAGAATATGATTTTGGCAAAATCGCTGACTCGATACTATAACCTATAACTGACACATAAAAAGTTTTTATTCTAAAAACTTTTTTCTACTATTGGCTTCAATTTGTTCGCAGCATATATGTACAAATTTTTAGAAATAAACTTTTTTCTCGATTGCTTAAAATTACTCTACTGAAAATAACAAGTTTGAGTTTGATATTATTTTAACAAATTAACAATTTTTTTGGGGATTTAAGTGGGGTACTGTTCAAAGCGCTATTGTGTCTACATTAATATGTAAAAAAATACCTCGATAGCACGATTATTTTTCGAGATATAGCGGTGGAGACGTTAAAAAACATGTTCTCGAAATAAAATAGTACACGACCACCAAAAAATATCGTCAAAAATGAATACGTGTACTCGATTACCTTATTAAAAACTTACACTAAGTCTGGTTTGGTTTTACGCCGGTTTTTTTTTTTTTTTCTAAAAAACTAAGCGTCTTTACTTCCAAGTTTTACTCCGCTATTAGTAGAATTTTGCTTGTTTAAGAAGTTACAGGGTAGAGAAAATATTTTTTTTTTATATTTTTACTACAATTTAAATTTTTTTTGATTAAATATACCTAACTTTTGTGAAAGTAAGTTTTTTTGAGTTATACAAACGAATACTAGCTTCTTGTTGCATTACATGTACAGGGAGTTCTTAACTGGCGTGGCAATCTAGTATATACTTCAGTTTTTTTTTAATGAGTTTTATGTATGTTAAAGCGATTCAACATAAACGAACAAAAACAGGTTAGTTTATATTAGGTAGAAAACAGATTTTAATTTTATGCTGTAAAATTAACAATAATTTTGACATTTAGATATTTTATAACATAGATATGAAATAAATTTTAGTTTAATTAAAATTGTTAGGTGTTTATTGTTGTCAGTTTAAAACAGAATTTTATAAAAAGAAAATTGTACCATATACTAGGGACGTCAAAATATACGAATATGAATTTGGCTCAGGAATAAAGTACCTTTATTTTCAAAAGTTGTTAGATCAAAAAAAGTTTTCATTTTTTTTTATTAGAAGAAAACTTTTAAGTATTAAAGCAACAAAATAAGCGAATAGATGGTCTTGTGGTTAGCGTTCTTGCCTTCCATACAAAAGACTCGAGTTCGAATTTCGGATGGGGAAAATTTAAATGAATTTTTTTTTTGTTTATTTTATTTTATAAATTAGTAATAGTCGTTATTTATTTTTAAATTAATTAAAATTAATAAACTAAAATAATTTTTATTATTTGTAGATTTTCGTTAGTGGGTCGTAGAAAAAATATACTGTATAACTCGAATGGATTGTCCATATCGCACTCATATCGTCTTCAAGCTATATAGCCATCATATCCACTCGAGTTTTACAGTATATTTTTTCTCCGACCAACTAACAAAAATCTACACATTAAAAAAACTATTTTAGGTTATTAATACAAAATAACTTATTTTAAAATAATGTATGACTTTTACTAATTTATAAAATAATATAAACAAAAAAAATATTTAATTTAGTTACTCCCCAGCACAGATTTGAACCCGGACCTCTCGCGTTAAAGACAAACGTACTCGTAATTAAATATATTTGTAAATGTGGACGAAATAAAAACAGAAATGCTATTATTTAACGATTTTACAAAAGAATCACTTTTTTTACGTATATTTAATCACAAAAACTAAAAATATACTGACAATTAGGTTGGCAGAATTGTCACTTATATAAAATTTTAAAAACATAGTAGCCGGGTAACCAAAATATGAATTGTGAGTGATGGATTTCATTTTTGCAGAGTTCTTACTACATAAAATGAATGAGAAATATATTTGTTCAGTTGAACGCAATGGCATACTTTTTCGCACTGTAGTCTGTGCGTAGATAAGTTAATATCCACGTGGATGTAGAAAAACTGCTATTTCAATCTCACTAACTAAAAAATTTACTGACAATTAGTTTGGCTGAATTGTTACTTTTTAAAATTGTAAAAAATATTATTAGACCGGTGTATTGTGATTGGTGGATTTCAATCCATAATAGTATCTTTACTAGAATGACTATGAAATTATATCCATTCAGTAGAACGTAATGGTCTACTTTATAGATAATATGCATTATGTGTATAAAAACAAATATGTTTGATTGTATTCATCGTTTAGAACAAGAATTTTATTTATTCTTTAGAACATTTTTTTAAAATGACATTTTCTTCCAAATGTTCAATTTAAGACACGTTTTACATTTTTGGAATCAGCAATGCAGAAACCAAATATGAAAAAATATGGTCCTTTCAAAAATAATGCCGAAGACGTCATAACGGAGGAAAATAAAAATATACCAATTTAAATGATTTAATTGCCTATTTTATAATTATTGCTAGAAATTAACTAAAAGTTTTTATACTCTAAAAGCATGTTATCTAAAAATGTTTCCCACTGTTTTCCCCATTTCTGCATAGCTGCGGTTTTTTCTTCCTCATCCATGGCACTGAATGATATTGAATTAATCGCAAACTGCTTCAAAACTTTAACACCTACATTTTCGGGCGTCATTGCCATAAATGCTACATACCAGTCATTACTTAAACCTGTCGCTCCCCAAACAGCAGGATCATCATTGGAAATTACAACGGGGAATCCCTTAGACATCAAAGTGATCATTGGATGATTTCTTAAATCGTCTATTAGTTTTAAAACTTGGTTGGAAATAGGACACACTTCTATACATATATTTTTTTCTTTAACGAGTTCCTGTAGTTGAGGATGTTTGTTTAAACCAAAGCCATGACCAATTCTGCTAGCATTTAGTAAAATAGCATCTAGTAAGTTAATATCGGTATGTCCAAACCAGTTGCTTTCTCCGGCGTGAAAAAAGAATTTTAAGTCATTGGTAAATTCAAGTAAAACTTCGTGAAAATCAAATAAAGTGTGACCTTCTTCCTCGTAACCTACAAAGTCAAAACCGCTGATAAAACTAGGATATTTATTTTTCAATTCTACCAGATCTTTTAAATCACGTTTTAAATCATCTGGGGAAACCCCACGATATAAATTATGAATATACCGAACACCTATAAAGTCGATGTGATCTTTTTTAAATTTTTCTACAGTCTTTATAAATATTCTAATGAAATCTTCATTATTATAGGTAGTGCCATTTAGTTCATACAGAGGCATGAATGTACCTCTAAGTTCGGAATACATAACGTTATCTAAATAAAGTTCTTTTAATAGCTGATAAATATATTCTTCAAACACTGGTTTGTAACAGATCATGTCGTATTGAACAGTAAAAGTCTTTTTAAATTTTGTCCATATTGAGTTAGCCGTAGGATATACCTCAGAAGGGTTTGGAACTTCTAATGAAAGCTGATCTTTTAGCCATACATCAAAATTCGTGTCATTTTGTCTGTATTCGACAATTTTTTTCCAAATCGAATCTATGTTAGGATCGCCGTCTTCAAAAAATTTTAACTTAAACACTCCGTTTACACAACCACCATAAAGTTTATTTTTATAGGTTACATTTTTTATGATGTAATCTGTTGAAACTCCAGCTAAAAAGTGCGTATGTAACGCTCCACCTTTTGGAAGTTTTTTAATTATTGAAAACATTTCGGATTGGTTAATTTTATCTTTAACGTTAAAAAAATGCTGCGATGGTAAAAAATTTGACACATTTTCGTATCCTTTCACTAATTCACTTTTCTTGATTTTTAGAATAACGTCGTCTACCAATTTTTCTTTCAGCGTTAAATTTAATTCACCTCCTACGAATGTTTTTTGTTCTAATTTTAGAATTCTCTCACGGTCGCGTATGTAGTTATCACTTTCACTTATGTTTGTCATGGTAAAAATTACAGTAAATCGTAGTGAGGCTACTAGAATACTGAATAAAATTCTCATTTTGAGCGCTTTTGTTGACGAAGAAGTCGATCGGTGAACCCCAAGAGGTATCTGTGAATCCCCTACACAACGAATAATACGCCTCACTTTTTCGGAATAAACGAATAATTCGTTGAACTGTTATTTTTATATAATGAATTTAATTAATTGGATTAGGTTGATTATCATTTTTGTTTATCTATTTTATGAATTCGTGCGCACTTTTAATTTCTATTATAGATATGATAAATGGATTTTTTTAGTATACCTGGTGTCTCAAAAATTAAAGATGCTACCTACAGACGAGTCTTACAAAAAAACAGTAGGGATTTTATAATTCTTTGATAATCGTGGAAGAGCAGGGTAAAAACAAAGTGGTATTTTTTTATAGGGATCTTAAAAATCAAGTATAAAGCAGACGTAATAATGGGTATTTTCAGACGCCTCCAAATGTATGTGTATTCTCATTTTCCTGTTACGAGGGTGGTTTAATTTGTTTGAAAGTATTTTTAATTAAAATCTTAAGCGGTTATAAACAACATGAAAATTGGTATTTAATTAGAGACAGACTCCTTTAAAAATTAATACGTGTTTCAGAATTGGTCATATTATAAATATGAGTCAATTTTTAATTGAGTATTTCTGTATCCAAAAACTGATAATATTATTTAGAGTCTTCTTAAAGCAAAAATGAAACTAGGTATTTAGAAACTCCATCGAAAATAACAAAGTGTATTATCATTTTCCGGTTACGGGGGTGGGTCAATTTTTATGAGGATATTTTGGATTAAAACTAAATAAGGAATAAGGATATAATCGTATAAAATTGATTTTTAGACTCGCTTAGAAATAAAGAAAGATGTGTTATATAATTTTTCGATTGCGGATGTCCGTCAATTTTTAATTGAATGTTTCTATGGGTCGATAAATAAATAAAATGTATT